CCAAGCCCTGGGGAACACCGCTTGTGACTGTGTTTTAAAGTGGTAAAAGCCACGAAGGTACGAGAGTAGATCTAGAAGAGAATTATGTAGGGTAATGTGGGGTTGGTACCTCTAGTTAAACCTTGAAAAATAATAGGGAGTCACATGAACAGTAGTTGTTGTTTATTCATTCTGGGAGCAACTAAAAATTATACTGTGTTTAAATCAATGTAGTGTATCTGTTTTTAAGCCCCAAACGATACCATGTTTCTATTAGTTGACAATTATTGTTACTGTGTTGCTGAACTTCCAACAGGTTAATCTCTGCCCTCTGTTGTAAACTGTACTTGAAAGTATAGCTTCATCATCTTTCTCCCCATTTTCTGTTTCAGTTGTTACTCTGTATGCCACTCTGGGAGGCCCAGCAATAGTACACGGGCTGAACGAGACGGAGGTGACCACCATCATTACTAGCAAAGAATTGATGCAAACCAAATTGAAGGTCAGGAAACTGTTCTTTGTCTGCCTCTTTGTAGTGTATCCGTTCACTATGTTAAAAGGTCTGGTTCCATTGTCAGGAACAATGATTTACTGCTGCTCTATAGGCCAGAAACTTCTTTTAGAATAAGATTTGTGTGTAGCCTTCAGTGAAATTTAGATTCCTCAATGACTTTGCAGAACAGGGTGAGCAATTTGCACTATTAAAGTGCTGCAGTGCTGCCTGGAACAGCACTTCTACAAGAAACTGTTATGGTTCTAGGGAGATTTAGTGCCTATAAATTAACAGTTGAAGCAGAACAGAAAAATGTATAAACTGTATATGAGTAGCTAAATGTGATCGTCCTCATGATTTACTGTTGGATGTTTTCCCAGGAGAGAATGGCTCTTAAATCTAAAGACGGGTGCTCAAAGGGTGAGAGGTTTTTTTCCAGTGTGGAGGAAAGCTTATTAAACATTAGAACAGTCAAGATCCTCTTCTGACTTACTGACCCACATCAAATACACAAGTGGAACAACTAATCTAGTCTACATGAGTTTCATCATCATGTGTTGTGGGGAAACCAGACCTTTCGCATCAAAGAATTGTTTTAATTAAATGAGAATTTCCCAAACTTCTTTCTTAAAGTTCCTAGGATGCCAGTGTGTATACAATGCGCAGTTAGTTCAGCTTGCAGTGAGAGAATGAGGTGGTAGTCATCTCTGGTCCCACAAGAACGTCGGTAAATGTTTTAAAACTCGTGTTTTGCTTGAAATGCTTCTCTAGTGCTTAACTAATGATTTTCTGTATTTTTGCGAGCTGTTGCTTGTTTTAAGTAGCACAGTAATTAATGAGCAGCAGGAACTGTTGTGGGCTCAGTCTTGCCAGTTTCTCTGCGTTCTGTAGGAGTGGAAAGTCGGTTATGTCTACAAATCACTGCAGTCTATTTGTGGGCTTTTCTCGAAATAATAAGACCCAGATCAGTAAATGGTTGGAAAAGTTTTTGGACTTGTAAGTGGAAAGTTCAGTCAGTCCTGCAAATGTAAATGCGGAAAGTTTCAAGCTTTGCAGTTGCTCGAGCTGGACAAGTTTATCCTCTGGTGTCTTAAATCCTCAGATCCTTTGTCAATGCGTTTGGTTTTTTTAATGTATACAGTAGATAGATTATTATTTTTCCTTCTTGTTGGCACAAACCTCACGTGTGGTTTCTGCACTCGTGTCCATTTCTACAGGAAATAGTCTCTCAAGTCCCGCTGCTGCGACACATTATCACAGTGGATGGCAAACCAACAACGTGGTCGGAGTTTCCCAAGGGTGTCATTGTTCACACCATGGCTTCTGTGCAAGCTATGGGGGCCAAGGCAGACACTGGTAAGGTTGTCTCTTTCTACTTGGATCATCTCCCTTCTTGTCCTACTTTGAGTAAGCTTGGGGAAATTGCGGATCGCAAAACATTGTGCGTGATTTACCTTTTATCATTGGTGTTTTCTTTAAATAAAATCAGTGGGTGTTTGTTGTTTGGGGGTGCAGGGTTTTCTTTTGTTTTGTTTTTCAACAGAGTAGAATAAAATGTTTTTAATAAGAACTGTCTTCTCCACAACAAGTATTGCATGTTGAAGAATGACTTTTAGGATAAGCATTTAGACCAGGATGTAAACTTAGAAAGCATTCTTATGATGAGGCATGTTAAAACCAGATCATTCAGAGCACACCGAGAAAAATATTATACATTCATAGAGAAAAGTGTTGTGTTTTACAGCAGAAGACATCAGTAATGCGCTACCATTAAGTTTTGTTGAAGTCACAAATAACAAAATGGCCGTAATAAAATAGCCATTTAAATCTGCAAGAACTGGGTCACTTTTATTGCATTTCTGGAAGTATCGATCTGTGTAAGTTTTTGAACATCTGTTTTCAGTCTAGGTAACATTTTTAGAATTAGAATTCAGAATTTCAGGAAATATTTTAACTATCATCATAAATATTTTTTTCTATGAAGATCCAGATACTAAACCTGTTCTCTTAAGATTTCGTTCTATTCAGTAGTTGCTTTCTTCTGTTCTTATTTGTGTTTTCAGTCTTTTAGTCACTGAAGGCACGTGAATGTTGGGCTGAATTTTGTCTTAGGAGTAGGGTGAGGGGTTGATACATCTGCTATTGATGTGTCAGGGGAGTGGCAGGTTTGCTCCCAACGTCACCCCTCAGTTTCTTTAAAAGATGCTTTTTCCGTATTTTTCCCTTATTTATTTACTCATGAGACTTTCAGGCAACACCAATAGACAACCAATTATGGCTATAATTAATTAGCTCCTTGCGATTTTTAATTCTATGTGCCATGGAAAAAGGTTTCTGGTCTTCTGTCTTTTACATGTCACACACTGTACACTCTAGTGAAGGAACATTGTCTTGTCAAGTTAACCATTCACAAATTGTGGAATGCTACAATGAATTGTTTATGGCCAAGCATGATACATTAATATTATATTAAGTACGTGAGCTGCTGCTTACGGGGTTTTTCCCCCTCTTGTGCATTGTGCAAGATGGACAGAGTTCAGTGAGTGGAAAATTATTCAATAAACTTTCACTCTTCTCATTCAGCGTGTGCGTTGTGTGCGTGTATTGCGCATTATGCAGTTTTTCCTCTGAATAAACACGGTTGTTGTTGTATTGTCTTGCTCTTGGTGCAAGTATTTAAAAAACACTTCAGTCCTCCTAAAGCTCTTGAGCTTCCTTTAAGTATTGATGAAAACTGGGCCTCGTGTTGGCTCAGCAGTGCCTTGCTGCAGGTGCTGAGCCAAGCCAGCACCAGGGAGTGCAGGGGAAAGCAGCTTTGCAGGTGAGGGCTGAGCCCGTGGCAGCGTGGAACCAGCGCAGTGTCCCTTCTGAAGGATGGGAAGCTCAGTGGCGTGTCGGAAAAGCCAAAGCTCTGCCCGCTTTTCTCACCTCTGTGGGAATATGGGATAGATAATAGAAAATGTGTTGTCATGGTAGACTAGGACAATCACTCAGAGTATTGCTCTGCTAATACAAAGAAGTTCATACTGTCTGTGAAGGCACTTAAGCTTGACCACAAGACTTTTTAACCCAAAAGCAAAACGCAATAGCAATAGTCATGTAGTGTTACATTGGAATGACTGCTGGAATATGGTAGTGTATTAGATCTCCCAGTCTGATAGGCTCTCCTCACATTATGCAGTCTCTTTTTTAAAACAAACTACAGGAAACAAACAGCCGGCCAGGCCTGTGCCCTCTGATATCGCAGTGATCATGTACACAAGTGGATCCACAGGCGTTCCCAAAGGAGTTATGATCTCCCATAGTAACATCATTGCTGGGATAACTGGAATGGCTGAGAGGATTCCAAATCTGGGGTACGTACCAACAGTTACCTACCAGCAAGTGAAGAAGTATGGTTGCATGTGATTATAGATTAGTTATGGTGTAAAATATCAACAGTTTTATATTGCTTTGTCTGTGACACATCGTACTGTACCCTGATGCCTGAGCATCTTCCAGTACTGCATTGAATGACATGGCTACTTTGCGTGCTCTTTGTTCTTTTGTCTTCTGTATGTGGAACAGACTGGGACACACAAGCCTGAGAGGCCGCCTTGCACTAGCGTGGTTGAAAACTTCCCTAGGCAGTACTTCCTTTGATTAGTGTTAAGTTCTGCGGTTTCTTTGGTGTAGTTTTTAATTTTGCCCACAAAGGTGCCTTTGCAACAACACACAGTTAGTTGTCTTGGGATGAGTAAACACCATACTTTGTTAGTGCCCTAAACCCACGGTATGTGGTATCCAACTCTTGAAACAAAACTGATACTGTTTGAAGTATGTTCTGAAGCTCAAGGGCATTTTTCCACTCTCTCTAGTTCTGCAGTAAGCTCGGAGTAAATTTAGCGTAATGGCTCAGCTGAGTACTCTGATGGTACAACATAAACTGTTCTTTTAAAAACTCTCTGCAGGGAAAAAGACATCTATATTGGCTACTTGCCTCTTGCCCATGTTCTGGAGCTGAGTGCTGAACTCGTGTGTCTGTCTCACGGATGCCGCATTGGTTACTCTTCTCCTCAGACGTTAGCTGACCAGGTATGTTGTTGATGTATGCCCTTATGGTAACAGCAAATAAATAAATACATCAGATCTTTGTAATGTTTCTTAAAAATACTACAACAAACCATCTTTTCTGCAGTTCATGAGGCGGGGCATTGGTAGTTCTGACTGTGTCGCCCTCCGCCTCAGACACAGGAGGAGAGCGACTAAAATTCTGTAAATTCCCTCGGGCTAAATTAAGGAGAGCCGACGCCAAACGATCAATTAAATGTTTTAATGTGAACAGTTTGGATTTGGAAAACGTAAAAGTGCTTGGCAGTGTGGTGCTTCTTAGTGGGTGCCTTTTGCAAGAAAAGAGTGACAGGAAAAAATTAGGAAAGATATCACTACCCTTGGATCCCACAATGATGCGTTGATGTTGATGACGCCAGGGCAATCCTCTGGTGGTGGGCATGCACCTGTGCCTCCCTGAGCCTTTTATACAGTCCAGGCCCTCCAGAACTTGTGTAACTCTTGGTCTGCTGCGCAGGCACCATCGTGTGTGGGGTGGTTATGGGCCCCTTCCCCACGTTACCTTGCCTGACAACACAGACCTGCACGTCCTGGGACAAGTCCTGGGACAGGCAGGGGCCTCTGCTTCCAGCACTTCTTTTCCTCTGCTTGCAGAGCAGAACTTACAGCTTTTGTTGTGCAGGACCTGCACTGGCACAGTGTTTGAGACATTGACTGTGTCAGTCTCTCGCAGACCGGTACTCTGGACTAGTTTTAATTGTTAAAATAGAATTTAAATGAAAATGATTGTTTGAAAGATGTGCTGTGTTAAAAATCTTGAACGTGTCTGCTAGTAAACTTGTTCTTCTAAAACTTGTTCTTCTTTAGTCCTCTAAAATAAAGAAAGGAAGCAGAGGTGATGTTACTATGCTTAAGCCGACCCTAATGGCAGCTGTCCCGGTGAGTAACTGAAGGATAAATAGTTTTAAACATTATTTTTAAGTTGCAATGGTCACTTAAATAAACAGGTAGAGCCTTTGATGTTAAGCTACCTGAAAAAGAATATTATTGCTATTTATGTTGGGGATAAACGTCATATGATTGTCAACATTTTTCAAAGTTTAAATAGCTGTGGGGTTTAGATTGCCTTGTTAATTAGTCACCTATTGTTTATTATAGTAAATGAATGGAATAAAGATAGTTGGCAGCAGGCAGCTCGGGGTTAACTGGTGCTCCTCAAATGTGAACATGTTGCTATCTCTTAGCAATGGGAGAGGAAGCAACCTGGGAGTGGATTGTCATCAGAAAAGTACGAGAATTTCTAGATCGTGTTTCCTTGTTGTTGTCGTGAATTTAGGATTTCTGTTACTTTGAGTTAATCTTTTCACGTAACTAGGAAATTATGGATCGGATCTACAAAAATGTGATGAATAAAGTGAATGAAATGACAAGTTTCCAGAGGAATCTATTTATATTGGCCTACAACTACAAAATGGAACAGATTTCCAAAGGCTACACTACCCCGCTTTGCGATAGGTAATTTTAATTACATTTTTAATAGTACCAAAAAACCTCATCAGACGTGCCTGTGTTTTTGAAAACTTCAATGTGCTTCTTCAAGCTTTTCCTTGAATACCATAGAAGTTGATTTGAAGACAGTGGGAACTTTCAGTTCAGATACAGAATTAGGTACTGTATTGTTTTGGTTTTAAGCAACAAATATGTACTCTTATCTTTGCATTTTAGCCTTATTTTCCGGAAAGTACGAATGCTGCTAGGTGGAAAAATTCGCATCCTGCTTTGTGGAGGAGCTCCACTGTCTGCAGCAACTCAGCGGTTTATGAACATTTGTTTCTGTTGCCCTGTAGGACAGGGGTATGGACTTACTGAGTCAGCTGGAGCCGGAACGATCACGGAAGGTTGGTGTTGGTGCATCCCACTGAGTGCTCTGATCTCTGCCGAGTGCTCTGCGTGGGTCATCTTTGGCACTCTGTGCACTTGATGTATGCCACCAAACGTGGTTGGGGGATGCTGGGAATGACTTGTGATCACAAAACGTGTAAAACAGCAGCAGTAGTGATTTTGACACGTTGCGCTGAAGCTGACCTACGTATGGAACGTATGAAATTCTCGTTTGTGATGGAGAAACCTGTAATAGCGTGGCTGGGATCTTGGCATTGTTGCACTTACCAGTTGAACTGAATACATTATTTCTAATTTTGGTGAGTGTATTGAGATGATAGGAAAATAGATAATGGAATGCAAAAGCCTGCACCAGATTTTAATTTCATGTAGCAGAACGTTATTGATTCAGTTGCCTCTTCGTCCTAAAACCTCACTTTCATCAGCTGCTGCAGGAACAGAGCTGCTGTTTTTCTGCAGTGGTGTGATTTAGCTAGGAGTCATGTGAGGGGTACCTAAGGCTTGTGGCTAGATGATGCTGGATTGTGGCACATGTACTACGTTCCTTGGTGATCCACAGATGGCTGTGATGATGTTTTTATTCCAAGAGGTCTTTGGAAATGGCTTCTTCAGTAGCTTGGGAGGAAAACAGAAGAAGCGGAACTGTAGTACAAGTGATGCAGTCTGCAGTGATGCCCTTTTGGGAAGGTGCCCAGAGTGGAAGTGTTTGGGATTAAAACTTGAGGAAGTTGAATGAAAATATAGAATACCTGAGTTGTTATGAAATATTGCTACTTATTTCAGAGTCCTGCAGGCGCTATTTAATGTTGACGTGCCACTTCTGAAGCGGGATCCCCATGGCAAGCTTACTGCCAAAGCTGTGCTGATATGACTGGAGATGTCTGTAAATAGAGCCATCCGTTCGGGATGTCTGCATGACCTCGAGAGATCCGTTGATTTTCTTGGAAGTTTGTTCTATGAATTCAAGTTCAGACATAAATAGCAGTTAATTTTCACTAAAGATGCGTGACAACAGAGATTTTTCTAATGAGTTTGGGTAAATTTTTTCTCTGAAAATGCTCTTTTTAAAATTCTAGTCTGGGACTACACTACAGGGAGAGTGGGAGCGCCTTTGGTCTGTTGTGAAATCAAGTTAATGAACTGGGAAGAAGGTGAGAATTTTCTGTATGGTTGTAAGAACTCTGTATATGCTGTTTTTCTATTGGGCTTTGCAATTAGACTATTTCTTTGCTTTTGAAATTTTAAATGCTACTTTTATCTATGAAAGTTTGAGCTTCAGGGAGAGAAAAGGCAAAATAAATGCTTCATTGTGTTTTAAACTTTAAAAAATATCTAGACAGAAGCTATCAATGCGAGTGACATTTTTGCTGGATTGTATTGTGACTCTCTTTGGCTGTACTATTTCTTTTATTCCAGTCGCTCTAATTGTATGTGAATCACGTGTAAACGTGTGCAGTGTTGTACCTCTTCCTCATTTACATCAGTATTTGTGCAGGACAGGGTGCAGGTCTTGTCTTAGCTGTGCTGTATTGAGCAGGCTTCAGCTGAAGTGCGTGCGTGATACCTTCTGTTGCCATTAAGAAATTATTTTAAAACAGTCTTCGTAATATTGTTGTTAATGAAATAGTTTAAAAATTGGCACATGGAATGGAAGCTTAATGGATGCTATGTGAAATCTATTTAATGAAGTGATGTCCTTTCACCGTAGGCTGTTACGTATTGTACAGCAGAAATGCATAACACTTAAGGGTTGAAATTTTTCTTTGCAAATGTGAGATGTTACAGATCTTTTATTTCCTGAAATATGAGGTGAAATCTATCTTCTTTTTTTTTTATGCTTGTATGAAACCGATAGAGCATGCCAGTCCTGGCAGGACAGTGGTGTAGTGGCTTTTGCCCTCTGCGTGTGTGTGAATTTCACTGCTTGTGAACAGTTGTTAAATAGCTGCTGATGGGCTGAAAAGAACTGGAACCACCTCTTCTCTTACTGAACTGTATGGACAACTTACTGGAGTGTTTCGTTCTATTATTTTTACTGTTTAAATACAGGAATTCTTGCTTTAGGATAGATTTTAACTCTCGTTAATAAAACCTGTACTTTTAGGTGGATATTACAACACTGATAAACCATATCCTAGAGGTGAGATACTTATTGGAGGGCAAAACGTGACCGTGGGCTACTACAAAAACGAAGTGCGAACCAGAAAAGATTTCACTGTTGACGAGAATGGGCAGAGGTGGCTCCATACTGGAGACATTGGAGAGTTTCATCAAGATGGATGTCTAAAAATTATCGGTGAGTTTCAGGTGAACACGTATATCCGTTTGTCAGGGCTGCTAAGTGCCATAATTAACAAAAATGTGCATATCTTGGCATGCAGTCTCCAGCGCTGCCTTGTATCCCAGGGCAGTTCTGATACGTGAACATAAACTGGATTGTGTGTTTGAAAAGCCGATTTTTAAAACTATCGCTTCCTTTTAAAACAGCCTTTGCATTGACTCCACTCCCAGTTAGTGAGACTGGGTGGTAATTGGAGAGTTAAATATAGGCTAACTGAGCTAGATAAAACTGATAGATTAATTTATTATTAGATTTTTATAATTTTGTAAGTGTGGAATTTGGTTCAGTGAAAGGACTCTTTTGGTGATGTGTGCTCAGGAATTCAGTAAGCCTTTTTCTAGTCTTGCCAGTCTTTATCATAAGAATATCCCTTTATCATAAAAGAACTAGGGGAAAATATACAAAGGTAAAGGTGTCACACGTAAGCCTGTGATAGGTTCATAACCTGCAGGCACAGAAATACCAGGTGTCTCTTTTGAAGTCAGTGGGTGATTCAGGGTGCTCTTTAAACCTGAAAACTAAGCTTAATTGGTTTATCGTGAGAAAAATCTTGGGTCCTGTTGCAGCTGCCTTGCTCTGGTCATACCGGTCAGACAGCTCCAAAACTCCCTTGCCTGGTTGCTCAAAGCATCATGAAGGTGTGTATAGCAACGGAGGGGTTCTCCTGGCTGCCATCACAGCCGGGTGGCAGAGGTGACTACAGGTCCTTACCCACCTTGGGCTGTGTACAATAAGCTCGAGTAATCTGGGCTTGATTTTGAGTTCCTCTTGTTGTGTTACAGATAACAGGCAGACAGCTGCTTTTCAAGTATGGATTTAGCCTGGGAAAAAAAATAACAAACTGTCACCACATTGTGCATCTCCTGCCTTAAGGGTCTGAACCAGGCAGCACATAATGTGTGCCACCAACCAGACTGGCTTTTGTGTAACCTTGGTTGTCTTCCATTCACATGCCAACGTAGATGTGTAAGAAATGCTGTTCTAAAGGCAGAAAATGCATAGAATTAAAATGTGGCTTATGTTTATGTGAGGGACAGATGGGTAAAATGCGAAGTCTGGGAACCTGATATTACACGTTTCTGGTATGTTGACCAAACGTGAGTCAGCTTCCCTTTTGGCATTTACACACATCTCAGAAAAGTAGAAAATAAATGTCTAAAGTTTTGTGTTTTGTAATGAATGTTCAATTACTTTTTTCCTCAATAGATCGTAAAAAAGACCTTGTAAAACTCCAGGCAGGAGAATATGTTTCTCTTGGCAAAGTAGAAGCAGCTCTAAAGAATCTTCCACTGGTAGATAATATTTGTGTGTATGCAAGCAGGTAAGAGGCAGCTGATACTTTGTTGTTTCTGTATTCTCTCTCTGTCCTACTGAAGCCATAAGCAAAATGAATTAGGTGTATAAGGGCTCAAACGTATTTAAGTTTGTTTTTAAGATTTCCTACCTGTGTGTAATACAGACTTACACATGTGAAAATACTTCAGGTGGTCTCTGTTTCCTGTTGTCATTTTGGTGTTTGGAAAGTAATTTTGCAACTTCGGAACAATCAGAAATATTCTGACTTCCGGTGTGGCCAAAAAAGCCCTGCTCTAACTTTGATTGAAGGAGGCCAGAACAAGCGTAACAGAGAATTGCTCAGTGGTAGTAAACAGAAAATTAACTTTTGGTTTGTTCACCTGGTTCTCTGTGATACTTCAGTGTGTTAAAGTCATCCTGTAACGTTAGTTCTGAATCGGTGGTGCATTGGGCATGCCACTGCTGAGAAAACTTATCTTGGCCTTTATTGGTGGTTCTGACCCGTTGGATGAGTCTCATGTTTGCTCGTGCTGACTGCCTGAGGTTACATGCCTGTTCTGAGCACCCTCTGTGGAGAAGGAGACTCCTACAGACGGTGATTTCTGCTGTTCTAGGATTGAGGTTCACTATTGGAATTGTGCTATCAAATTTGTTTTAATTTTGCCAGGTCAACCTGATTTTGGAGACTAAAACACACTTGGTAGACAGGCGCTTGGCTCTAGTCGGTATCTTGTCTGTTACTTAAAACGAGGGAAACCTATAGGCAGTTTTTAAAGGTAATTTACTAGCAGAGTCCAAGTGCACTCCAGATAATTTTTCTGCTGCTGCTCTACTTCTTAATACTTTCATGTGTGCAATTTGGCATGAGTAGCCATGTCATACAGATTCTCTGAATGATTGTCCATATGCACATTTCATTGTGGGTACGTACTCAATTCCACAGCATGAGCTCAAAGACTTTTTGTTAGCAGTGCCTATGTAGCTTGCCTGTCTGCGCCTCTTGTATCCTGTCTCTCTTTATAATTTGCTTGGGTGATCTCTTGTCCAAGAGATGTCCCTCATTTGCAACTGTTTTCCCTCTCACATGCAAAAGAACAAGGAGGGCAGACTTTTACAAGTGGGTTATGTCTGCGATTTGACCTTAGGTCTTGGGGTGCAAAGCTTCTCTGAACGTGGTAGCAAGGAATCAGAAGTGTGTGTACAATATCACTGCTTCAAAAGCTGTGTTCATTGACCACTTCAGAGAAAATGCTCAGTGAGATAAGGAGTAAAATGTTTGCTGAAAGGAATCATGATTAGTGCTCCTTCAGAGGAGACTCCTACTGGCTATCAGCACTTCACCCATCCGAGGCGCATTCTGTAAACCACAAGCATCGTGTCAGGAAAATTAGTACTTTAGTTACCTGAGGAATGAGTAAACATAACAAAAACCCCAAGGGAGTTCTTAGCAGGAAGCTCAAGGAAAGCTGGTAAGGACCAGACTTTACAGAGAAGAAATATCAACCTGTAGTGCTCCTGTAGATGTCTCTTACCATAGGTCTGAGGGCTGTTCTCAGGTAGCATCTCAAGCACAGCAAGGGAATGAGGATGCCTAGTGTAGGAGAGATGTTCTGGCAAAAATCTCTTAGCATGGGGGAGAGTAAGGAGTTCCTGAGGCCCAGGTTCTGAAAATTTCTTCCTTCCTGCTGTCCTTATGATCCCCAAGACTGGAGAAGCTGATAAATCAAGAGATCTGCAGAAGGAACAGTAGTGGAGAGGGAAGTAGCTGCTCCAGAGAGGAGAGATGTATTTTTTAGGATACTTCTCAAGACAGACTCCTTTAGCATTTGAACTGCAACAGGTGAAGATTTAACTAGTGCTACAGAATGAAAAGCTACGCGTTCCAGGAGCTGTGAGCCTCAAGGTGCGCTTTCCAGGAAAAAGCATGTCCGGAGGAAGTGTGCTGCCACTAAAGAGGCCGAATTTGAGCTGAACTGAAGGTTTGAGGCTTACCACTTCTGTGTGCTGTTTATCCCTGGAGACACTGGTGATGCTGCTGGACGTGACCTTAAGGATGTCAAAAGACTACAGGAACCAGGGAGGAAAGTGTCAGAGTCCTTTTGTTCTTGATGTCTTCACACATAATACATACACATTACGGAGTAGACTGTAGACGAAGTTACAAGGGTTCAGTACAGAGTATAGTGTGTGTGTGGGAGGAGGGAGGGCAAAGGCAAGAGGTGAGATGCAAGCAGTAGGTGATACTGAGGCTAATCTGAAGTCTTTCTGTAAGTACATTCTTAGTGAGAAGAAAAATGAGAACGGTTTTGAGTCATCCAGCAAGTGATGCAAGTGAAGCCTGTGTTTGTCGTGGACTTCCATGCAGTCTTCACAACCGCTGTCAGATGCGCATCGTAATTCATACCAGTAACAAAGGAGACAATGGCAATGTACAGTAACCAGAAGGGTATTTAGAGTTAGTATTTTAAAATTATTTTGGAGACCTTAAAGGATAAGCTAAAGTAACATCCGTACCAGGGTTAAGGCTCTGTATTTTGCATTAATAATTTATCTGGTGAAAGAGATTTAACCATCTGCAGATTCATTCAGTCTTTTAAAGGGTGAAACAGGACTGAAGGTACAGTGGAGGACAGGATTAGATTTCGGAGCAAGCTTGGCTGGATGGAGATTTGTTTGAACACAGCGGTCAACTTAAAGAGGGGAAATGTAAATAATACTTACACCTAAATAAGCTGCAAAAATACAGGACGAGGAACCACCAGCTGCTTGCAGTTCTGTAGGAGCTGACATGAGTCAACAAGTGCCATGCTGATACAAGAAGGTAAATAATACAGCATAATCAGATGTGTAGCCTACAGGATACACAGTGATCTTTACCAGGCATTAAAGGGTCCGAGTTCCACAGGCAACACTTCAGAAAAGATTTTTGAACGCTTCTTGAAAAGAGTCCAAGAAAAAAATGGGAACATCTGGGCAGATGTCTGTGATGCATGACTTAGGAGGAAAGGGCATTGCTTAAATTCCTGAGGAAACTTAAGAAAGGAAGGAAGACTAGAAATGTGAGAAGGAAAAAAAAAATAGAAAGAGTCTGTGAAAGGGTAAGTGGGTCCTGTGGAAAGGAGAGGAACATCTGACTATGGAAATACAGCTGATGCGAACTGCAGAGGGGATGAGTCAGGAACAGCTTACCAGTCCTAAGAGTAATGAAGCATTGGCATTTGCCTGATGCTTAAGAACAGGTTAGACAGACATCTGTTAGATGGAGTGGACCTTGCTTCAAGGCAGGTGAATGCATTAGATGTTGTGAGATTGCTTCCAGAGCTCTGATTCTGGGATCTGCATTGCTAGAATGAGTCGAGTTGCTATGTGGGGTTCTGTTCACGTTTTACCTGAACTTTGCACCATCTGAAAACTCTTGAATACCTGTTTCAGGGCCTCGGTGTTTTCCAAAGACTTTGAGATCCCAGCTTCTATGCTCTAGGCATCTCCGGAGCAAAGATTGCCAACAGTAGAGTGAGCGTATGGACAATCACTTGAAAGAGAAAGAGAAGTCACTTCCCTTACAGAAGCAGGCGTTCTTTGAGATGTGTTGTGCATATGCTCATTCCACAACCCGCTCTCCAACCCCTCTTCACTGCGGTCCTCTACTCCTCTACAGTAACTGGATTCTGCAGTTGAGAGGAAACTGAGGTAGGGAAGCCGCACACCAGTCTCCATACCGGGCTGCAAAACATGAGGAGAGGCAGGGCGCATTGACATCGTGTGGGTACTGCTTCTCCAAAGCTTTGAGCATGAGGCACAGTGGAATATGCATATGGACAGCACACCTTGAAGCAATCCAGTTGCTGTAAGGTAAGTAGCTTCTCTTTCTACTTATTTTTAAGCAGGCAAAGGTAATTTGTGCACGTAATTTCAAAAAGATTATCAGGTGAACAAAAGCCAACTGTTAAGAGCAATATCTCTGTATGAAGTGCAAACAACTTGAAATGCTGGTTTTGAAGACTAGTTAACTTTGCAAAATCCATACTAAAGTACATTGTACTTCTCAGTTTCCATTCTTATGTCGTTGGATTTGTTGTGCCAAATCAGAAGGAGCTTGCAGAACTAGCTCGAAAGAAAGGATTTAAAGGAACCTGGGAAGAGATCTGTAACAGCTCTGAGATGGAGAAAGAGGTACTGAAGGTGCTAGCTGAGGCTGCCATGGCAGGTGAGTAGCTGGGTAGATAGTGTTAACCTTGTGGATCGTAATGTCTGTGAAATAGATAAGCATAGGCACTACAAGTATTTCCTTGAGCGTGTGTATTTCCTAGGATGCGTATGAAGTGGAATTTTCGTACAAAGAAAAGCCCCAACAACAAAACATGAGTTGGGTCAGTCCTTTTGGTTCGTGTAGCTCTTCTCTTGACTGTGGCCAATAGCTGAGGAAAGAATATAAGAACAGGGCAAACTTCTCAGGCTCAGTTCAGTTCCGTATATAGGGGGGTGTGTGTGTGTGTGTGTGTGTGTGGTGCTCTTTGAGATGTCCTGTAGGATCTTTTTGGCCTTGGCTGCTGGTCCAAAAAATGTGAGTCATCTGAAGATCCGTGCTGGGTATCACACAGTCTCACATTCGACATGCCTTTGCGTAGTTGCAGTGCACCCATGGGGACAGGGGCCCTCCTAGCTTCCAGGCTTGCATCTGAGGGATTTCCTAAACTGAAAGCAGTGTCTTTATAGTTAGTAATTTCCAGTAGACTTTTTCTTCTGTTAACTCTTCTAGTCACATTTTAAAGTGATGTAAATATTCTGTATCAGTGTCCATGCTATCTCGTGACAGAGTTGCACAGCTCAGCTATGTTCATGTGAAGAAATCTCATTTGTTTTAACCCTGCCGTCTGCTAGTGCAGTTTGGCTCTGCCAGGATCTTGTATGGGAAGAGGCAGTGAGCAGTCACAATGGCAGTCGTGATTTTTTTCCAGTGGCCATTATGCGTCCCCCTCAGCTGCATCCTTCTCATGCTCATTGGTAGCAGCCTTTTCTGGTGCAGAACTACAAGAGTGGCACAGTGATGTTTTGTTTCTCTTCCATCATAATTTCTGCCCTGGTTTTGATTTTCACCATTACTAAGCACTGAGCTTTTCTCATATAGCTGTCGGTTATGACCAAGGACCATCTCTTGGCCATTGTGGATGTTAAATTTCTTTTTCATAGGCATTCACTCGAACATTTTCCTCAATGAATTTTTTGCTGCTCTGTTTTGCAATTGCTCAGTATCGTGATGTCCTTCTGCACCTCTTTGTAGTTGGCCCTCTACTTTACTACTCGGGATGACGTTACACTTCCCACATGCTTTGTCTTCTCCATACTACTTGTGAATACGTTAAACTCTGTGATAAGTGTGTAAGAGCATCCTCACATGATAGGACTGCAGACTGTTTTCCCTGCCCGTTTTGTCTGGTCTGTTTTTCTTCGCTGCATGGAGCAGCGTATGGCTGCTCATTCGAAGAAGCTGCTGCTGTGGAGAGCATCTACAAAGTAATTTTCCTTTTTTGTGCAGCTCTAACTGTTCTAAAGAGAACTAAATATGTTGTTAAAATTTGAATTATATATTTGCTTTAATCCTCAGGTATTTTTATACGTTTTAATGTTATTTTCTATCCGTTTTTGTTTTTCCATTTGGTAGCACAGGCCTTACTTTTAAAGTAACACGATTTTTAGTGCTAAAATGCAGAAAACCCCCCAAAAACCCAACAGTGATTTAATGTGGAGTGAAAGAAAAGTTGACTTGTACAGGAGAATGATACATTTGTGGATTTTTTATTTTTAAATTTCACTTGAAAATGTATTATTTTTCTAATATTGCCATCTGTTGATCACTTTTCTTAGTTACTGGTTTTTCTTCTCTTATGTCTGAAACCAAAGTAGAAGCTCTTGCAAAGGAAATGGTTTTGTCCTAAAGGTGTAATCACAGAATATCAGGAGTTGGAAGGGACCTCAAAAGCTCCCCCAGTCCAACCCCTGCCAGAGCAGGATCACCAGAGCAGTCACAGAGAAGGAGACTCCACAACCTCTCTGGGCAGCCTGGGCCATGCTCCATAACCCTCACACTGACAAACTTTGTCCTCATCTTCTGATTGAACCTCCCATGCTCCAGCTTGGGACCATTGCCCCTTGTCCTGGCATTGGCCATCCCAGAGCAGAGCCTGGCTCCTTCCTCCTGACTCTGCCCTGTCCAAACTGATCCCCAGGAATGAGGGCCCCCCTCAGTCTCCTCTGCTCCAAGCTCAAGAGCCCCAGCTCCCTCAGCCGCTCCTTATAAGGGAGATGCTCCACTCCCTCCATCATCTTTGTGGCTCTGCTGGACTCTTTCAAGCAACTCCCTGTCCTTCTTGAAGTGACTCTGCAGAGCACTGTTCTGTTTCAGCAGGGGAAACAGCTACCACGTCAACTTACCCTTAGTGAACAGTTTTGCCTTCCTGTGTGACTGCTCTGGTGATCCTGCTCTAGCAGGGGTTGGACTGGGGGAGCTTTCGAGGTCCCTTGCAGCTCCTGCCATTCTGTGGTTCTGTGATTTAGCACTATGAGGACAAAACACAAGCCCCCCCCCATTTCTGCAACAGAAACAGTATGGATTTTATGACTTTTATTTTTATATCCAGAAGATGAGTGCCGTAACACTGGTCCAACAGTGCATATTTTGGGAATGTCATCTCCACACACTGAGGCTTTTCTGAAGTTGTGGAGCAGCGCAGATACCCCAAAATCTGGGATTTATTTCGGTATTTGTGGGAACTGGTGGATCCCGTCACTCTGCTTGATACTACACTGGGGTCTTCATAGCGAACCAGGGGATTTTGAGGAGCTTTTCCTCATGCGTGTCACGTCCTTTTCTGTGTGAGGATACGAGTCTTCTTTTTGTGGTTAATTGTAGGAAAACGCTTCTATTTCCATTTTGTGTTAAAAATGTAATGTGGGTTGTTTTGTTTGTTTGGTTTTTTCAGCTAATCTGGAGAAGTTTGAAATACCAGTAAAAATTCGTTTGAGCCCTGATCCTTGGACCCCTGAGACTGGTCTAGTGACAGACGCGTTCAAACTGAAACGCAAAGAGCTGACGGCGTACTATCAACTGGACATCGAGCGAATGTATGGGAAAAATGTAAAATAGCTATTTTTCTGCACCACTTTGCTACAGTGAGCTTGGATCAAATAGGAAATACTTGAATTGCCTGTCTCAGCACTTGAGATCAACACACAAACCCACCACTCCTCATTTGCAGCTTAAGCTGTTGTTTCTGGTAACATCACCGTGATGACTGGCAAGTTTAGTAAAATGCTACGGCAGCAAACTCGTGTCTGTCTCCTTTTTTCCAGTTTTCTCGGCTACCTTGTCAGTCTGGATTTTCCCCGAGTCTTTTTGGGAAACCGTGATTCTGAAGCCTCAAGTTTTTAAACATTTATAAATCCTGTATAATGTTTTATTTGTATCTTTAAAATTTGGATGTATATAGAGAGAACTTGGCTATATAAGAAATGGTTATACTGGGGGCCTTTTTTTACCTAATTATTTAAAGATAAGAAGGTATTGATGTTGTGACATTATGTACATTGAAAATGCTTGTAACGAGATCGTTGTTGACCGGAGGACCAGGTTATTTGCTGCTGTGCTGTTTCTCTGTGTAAATCTGAGGAAGAAAATGTTTGACATTCCAGCTCATGTAACACACCGTCAATATGTGCCTAATGGTTACGTTTATTTTGATCTGAAAACGAAACGGTGGGCACGGCACAGCTCTGCATAAAGGCAGGTACTCTTGCAGGTGTTAGTTAAAGCTTGTTTAATACAAAAGATGCTATTAACACGGCAGAAGTTAAACCTAAGAAGAATCTCTCAAATACAGAAACTCCTTTTTTAAATAGCTCGTGACCATTTCATCCAGTCGCTGAATTGTTCAGAGCTACCGAAAACTCCCAGCATTAATTTCACGTAACGCTTTAGAAGTTCGACAGCGTCCTTTAGCAGGACTGTCACAACTTTTGTCTTCTCCCATCAGGTTTGGACATCCCGCTGGGTTTGCTCTTTCGTTGTTTGCGGAAGCCTGGCAACACCCCTGTTCTGCCCTAGCGGCAACCCAAGTCTTACTGGGGGATTTTTAAAGTCATAATGACAGTTATGTTCTCCTCTCACACAGTGCCTAGCTGCCCTTTGTGCCATTAAAAATCTCCCTTTAATTTTGTGTTCTGTTTGTTTAAAGCATTTTTTGCTTTAAAAACAGGTATTTGAAGTATTTGTCAGCCAGAGTTATTTGTGTTCCTTGGTTCGTTACACCCAGTTCTTATTTGAGAAAGGACTCTCAATTTCTATCTATGGGTGTTTGAGTAATGTTTGAAGAACTCGGTGGGATCTTTTAATCCTCGGTGAGAGTGTTTAGATTTGTTTCAGATGCAAGTTTTCTTTTCAAAACATTTCTAGCACATTTTAATCGGGGTTACGTGACAATGTGAAAAGGTGTACATCAGTCAACTTTGTGACGGAGCAGATATTAAAATGGCTTGAATTTGGAGCTTATTCTCGATGTGTATCATTTACTTGTACTACAAGTCAAGGTCTTTGCTCACTTAGTACTCCACTATGGTAGCATACAGAAATTCAGAACAGCAGAAGCGTTGTTTAGGGGAGAGAATTCCTGCTGTTTGTATTGGCAACGGAGTTTTGGGAGGTGTTTGATATACACATTCTCATTAAAAAAAAATCTGAAATGTTAATTACATTATCACTTTCCATTGATTGTAGAAAGCAGTTTCGTAGGAGTCAGAAGTTCAAGTAGGTTCCTTGTCCTGTAGTTTTGATGAAGGGATGAGAAGGTTGCGTTGCCATCTCTCCCACTATGCATGGATTTCCCCTGCTGCTGCCTATGGAAAGCTGTTACCGCTTGGTAAGTTCTGCTGTAACTGGTTTAATGGAAATGGAAGCAACAGAGAGACATGAGAACCACATATAGGAGATTAATGCCTTCAGATACCTAGATCATACATGAAACCTTCTGGCAAACAGATAAGGACAAGTCTGATGTTGGAAAATTACTGAAGAATCGGAACGTGGGAGTTACCAGGTCACAACACGTGTCAGATGGCAATAGCACTTCACTATGTGTCTGTGCTCCATCAGCAGGCTCTTGAACAGCTCACGCTCAGCACAGGATGCACGCTGCTGGAGTGTCTTGGTGTGTTGTAGTGAAAATTACTGAAGTACTATGTGTGTCACTTGGTGCATTGTGCAGCGGGTTTAAGAAATTAAATCTGCCTTTGGTTAACTCAGAAAGAATCTGAAATTAGTCTCTTATTCTGCTAAGAGTTTGTATCCGCTTTTGGATAAATTGCGTAAGTCAAACTTTTAAAATGGGGCTTGGAAACAACAGTTTTAATTTTTCTTCCAACCCAGTCACAAGATTGGGTTGCAGACTGACTGTGCATTTGGTTTTGCAGTTCAGTTTTTTTATATTTAAAATG